GGGGCTCGATCCCAGGACCCTAGGATCATGACCTGAGCCGAAGGCAGACGCTTAATGACTCAGTCACCCAGGCGCCCCCTCGCTGCTCATTCTTGAGCTTCTGGGTCCATGGGCAACCCATGAGGTGCCAATAGTCATCACCCTTACTTTACAGAAGAGGACGAGGCAGTTGGGAGAGGGGAAATGAATGACCCAAAGCCTCACAATCAGGGAGCAACAAGATCCGGCCTGGTAGCAGAGTTTCACATACCTACAACTGTAAAGCCCTTTTGCTAAATAGTTCCACGCCCAGCCTTGCATTTGCCCCTTGAAATACGTGGGACTCCCAGGAAGATTGCCTTAATATCCTGACTCAGGCCTGCATTGCCAAGCCCTTGCCAGCCTCTCTAACCTCAGCACCCATCGCTTCCTCCTTCCTTCTCTGCAGCCAAGCCACCTGCTTTCTTTCTAATCCTCACATAAGCCAAGAGTGGCCCCACCTCAGGGCCTTTGCACCTGCTCTTCCTTCTGGCTGGAATGCCTTTCCCACACGCCCTCCATGACAAACTCTTTCTTTGCATTCTGTTCTCAGCTCATAGTTCACCTCCTCCAGGAGGACTGCCCTGATCCAGTTCACTCACTTCCTTTCACATCACCTGGTCTTCACCCTGCCCAGCACTCAGCACCCTGTGTGTGTGTGTGTGTGTGTGTGTGTGTGTTCACGTGTTTGCTCAGTGTCTCTCTCTCTCTCACTCGGGTGTGAGTTCAACAAAAGCTAGGCCTCATCCTTGTTGGTCTTCCCAAGTCCCCCAGCAATGGGGATGGTGCCTGGCACAGAGCCCGGCCTCGGTGAATATTTGTGGACTAAAAGCAAGATGTTTCACTGACCACCTATGACCCTCTGTGTGTCTTTGCCTAGCAGTCCTTCTCTCCTTCCAGAAACACTGCTTCAGGCCACACTCACCTCCAGAGGGCACTGTTGCCACGGCGACAAGGGGACTCGTTGGGGAGGAAGTGGTGTTTCCATGGTGCACGACCTACACATATAGTCTGTTCCCACCTTCCCCCACCTTTCATTCGTTTGTTCAATCAATCAATACATATTGAGTACTCATTGTGTGCCCCATGAGTGGCGTAGATGCTGTGGGAATCGCGTCTCTGCCCGTGTGGCAACGTGACACTTGCAAACATAAAACAGAATGTATAAAGACATCAAGAAGAGACTTGAATTGTAAGGTACGTGTTCGCCTCTCTCCCCCTCTGCTGCTGGTACCACCGCCCCCACCTTCCTCTTCCTCATACACCCACTTGTCGGCTCTGCAGTCATTGCCAAGGCTTCTATCCTTCCCTGGCCCACTCCTCCCCAGCGTGCTGGAACTGGTTTGTACAGGCTTACAAAAGCCGATGGCTAAATATTTCAGAATGTTGCGAGCTGATTGTTAAATGATCGGTAGCTCAAAGTCTGAATTTTATACACAGAAATAGGCCCGTGTTACAAGGCACGTTGCGCTGATGCTGTTTCTCTGCAGAGCTGGTTGTTGGCACATCCCAGGGAAGAAACTGCTTTGTCAAGGGATATCCTGTCTTTGACAGCAACTCACTTTCCACGACCACCCCCCTTCCCTCCCCCCTCCCCGGACGAAGGAACCCCAGCTCCTCTTGGATTAGGAGTGGGGAGAACAGAGGAATAGAAAGCAGGAGGGGACATCGGGGGAAATGGGAATAAAAAGGCGAGCAATGTAAGAAAGAAAGAGAAAGGAGTGAGAAGCAAGAAGCCCTGGTGGGCAGAGGTTAGAGCGGGAGTAACCAGTGCCCACCGCACAATGTCCTCACAGGCGGTTGGGCCATGTCCCCAACGTCCCCACCTGGGGCCAGAAGGTGGCCAGGCTGCCCTGAGGAAACCTCCTTCCCAAACTACCCAAACAGTGTGGGGGTGGGCACCCGCCAGCTGGGGCGCAGGAGGAAAGGGGGCTGGGGAGCGGGACCAGTGGGGCCTGGGGGCCGGGGTGTTTCTAAGGGTTGGGGGGTCAGGGAGCCTGGACTCCTGGGTCTGGGGAAGGAGGGGGTAGCCGGATTTCTTATCCAGTGAGATTCAGAGGGTGTGCTCGGACCTCCTCTATCAGGGCTCTCCCTCCTGCCCTTTCCTGGCAAGATATAAAAGGGTGGGGTACCCAGAAGAAAGAACAGGAGCGAGAGTTCCAGCCACCCTGAGCATGAGCCCTACCCTGCGGCTGGCTCTCCTGGGCGCCACCCTCATGCTGCCCCGTGAGTGAGGGAGGACCCTGACCCAGGAGGGCATTTTCCTGGAGGATGGGCTCAGATGGATTTCTCTTCCCATCTCAGGAGTGCAGGCCCTGATCTGTCAAAGGGGGACACATAATTCTCTGAGGAATGTATCGGAACTGCCCCTTGAGTGGACGACTGGCCTGGAGGAATGTGAGGATGGCTGGGGTTGCCAAGACACGCTGATCCTCATTGAGAACGGTGAGGAGGGCCCTGTGGGCCCCAAGCCTGACTCCCACCCTGTCCCGGGAGAAGGAGCCTTCCTTGCCCAGTCCTACTGTACTCTGTGTAGGGACTTGGAAGCCTCTCCTGCCTCAGCCCCAGGAGTCCTGCCGCCAGCCCCCTCCTCCCTCAGACTCAGGAGTCCAGACCCCCCAGCCCCTCCTCCCTCAGACCCAGGAGTCCTGCCGCCAGCCCCCTCCTCCCTCAGGCTCAGGGGTCCAGGCCCCCAGCCCCTCCTCCCTCAGACTCAGGAGTCCTGCCCCCAGCCCCTCCTCCCTCAGACCCAGGGGTCCAGGCCCCCAGCCCCTCCTCCCTCAGACCCAGGGGTCCAGGCCCCCAGCCCCTCCTCCCTC